GAACCGCGCATCACGCGTCAGACATTACTCATGCATGTAACCAATTTTAAGCTAGCACGTATCACACATTAAGACAGATATCACGTTGCGTAGTCGGGCACAGTGAGCCCTGTACGTTAAGGGTTAGTCGCCGAACTTTATAAGAATATATGCACTTATTTACCTGTCTGGATGGTCCTTTGCTCTTTAGATGACTTTTAGCTCTAAAAGGGTATTCCCTGTTTGTTTTTGGAGATTTAGCTTATAAAAACAAAGCAAAACAAGGAAATACAACAGGAAGGTTACCAAGGGAGGAACACCCCTTTCGGCGACCACTTTTGGCAAGACACACCTAGGCTGAGATTCAGGAAGGATATGGACCCTAAGCCCATCGGGGAGCTCGAATTCATCTACAGAGAAGAGGGCCATTCATACAGGAAAATAAGCAAAACTATTCTCATGGAAAGTCGGCTTAAAATCGTTTGCACATATGAGTGATGTCTCGTGCGTGCTGTGCGAATTTTTCTTAGTTGAAATCATTTGCATGTTATTTTCATGCGTAATGTGTGATGCCTGATTACTTGAAGTCGTTTGCATGTTTGTTTGAAGTGTGATGCCTGTTTACTTGAGTTTGTTTGCACGTACACGTATTTTTCGCGCGCTCTAACTCTCAGATATGCACTGAATCATGGTAATGGCTTGTACTAGCTCCTTGCTTAATTTCCCGAATGCTGGTGACCTGTAAAAACTGTGGCTCGCTTTTTCAACAAAGAAAAAGCAACCGAAAAATCCAGTAGGATCATGGGCAGGCAATTTGGAATTTACTCCTACTATTCGTTGTAGTAAAGGCGCGTCGCCGAGATATCAACGCATCTGCATCCCCATTCTCCTTGTTTTTATACGAGAAATAACGTTATTACCACTGTCTTATCCAGGCGCTTAATGTTCCTCGCAAATGCATTTAACAGCTGTCGTAAAATCACGAGCATTGCAATTTTCGGCTTCAAACCATAATTTGCGGGCAATGCGGAACGGACGATGGCGAACGCGTCCTGAACTGTGGCTAATGCTTCATTGTTGGCTTATTTAGGTGATAACTGCCAACGCAGTGTTCGTTGATTGTTGCCCCACATGGATCGGATCTGTCGGACAGAGATGGGATGCCGTCCCAGTTCACTTGAAAGAGACCCTTTCCGAGTTTCGAGTCCTTTAAAGTGCGCACCTGGCGGGCGTTTCTCTTCTCAAAGTTTCGTCTCGCTTGAAAATCAATGCACACCGCTGCCGCGCGGCACGAGAACGGCCGGCGTATAACGGAAAGCAGGCGGCTCCAGCGCGCCCGAGACCGACGCTGAGAGACGGCAGTACGTCGGGTAAACAGGGCTCATGGAGCCCATCCAAGACGCCGGTGCAGTTCCGAAAAGTGACCAGGTCTTCTACTTAGCGTTTGCTGAGCTTTTCATGGTCGAGGGGATGTGGTCGTGACGGACGGCTCCCGAGACAGGTCCAGCCACCAGCTTGGTCACCTTGAGCACGGGGCCGACCTGGTGCGTGTTTAAAATTTCAATTCATCTGGGCGACACAGCTTCCGTAACGGGGTAAGGGCTTACTTCACCAGCGCTACCTGGCAGGCAACCTTCACTTGCTTCACCGGCCACTGGCACAAAAACAATCCGGTAAGTATTTGGTGCACTATGACGATGAAAATACAACAGTAGATACATTTTGAAATCGAGGATAAAAACTCCATCAGCGCCATCCGACTAAAGCTGTCCCTATTCATCATACTTTGGCGATAGTGTTTTCATATACCGGCAAGGAAACCAGCCGAGAAGCTGGGGGGTATGGGCTGCTTTTGCGCACTGGGCTCGGCTGCAAAATGATATCAGCAAGAATAAGTTACAAAAGGCTGCATCGATTCTCCTCAATATTGCAGTACGTTGGTACAGGGTGCCTATGGAAAACAATAAGCAACGGTGCCGTTTTGTAACATTATTGGCGGTTCAGATAGCTTCAAGATCGCTTCTTTCAATGCATCACCAGAGCCATATTGTTAAGGTATTAGAATTAACCGCACTCTATCTCCCAAAGTGCATAAAACCACTGGCATGATATTACGCACTCGCGCAGAGCTATAGCACACCACATATAATTGTTTTGTAACAACCTCACGTTCTACAGGTCTCGACATGTCCTGGATTGGTTAGCATTTGCATCGGGGTGCCCTTATTCTTCAGACCACGTTCTTGGATTGGGCGAGAACCTGGACACAAGTCTCGAAATGTCCCGAATTGGCTTACATTTGCATCGAGACGCCTTCACTTTTCAGACCACGTTCTAGGATTATGTGAGAACCTCGCCATCCCGTTGTGTCAGATGGAGGAGGCAGTAAGTAGGCGAGGTGATGATGCTTGTCATCGATGACACGATAAGGAAGAAGATGCTGATGACGCATCGAAGGACACAATGAAGGGTGAGGCGTTGTCGTGCCAAGCTTTGCCGAGTCAGTCGATTCGTGGAATCGCGAGAAAGAAGACGACAGCCATTGATTATGCGGTAATTGTTCGCAGTCAATTGTTAGCAGAGTCAATTATTAGCAGAGTCAGTTGTTAGCAGATTCAAATTCAACTGCATAATTTTGCGGTGAATGTTTAACATAGAACGAGCCTCGGCGCGGTCCACTTGGGCTTGGCTTGACGGTATTTTGACGTCCGGAAAAATCCCACATATGTCAGCGCAGGAGATTTACGGCGATACGAGCACGTGGCTATAATAGCCGAGCCCTGTGGTGAATGCATTACACGCTTCGACGCACAGTCTAACAAGGCCATGTGCTTGTTCAGTGAGCTAGAGCTGAGCTTGTGGCCGGCTAGATACCCTTCGCTCGAGTGGGGGTCAATTTGATCACCCTGACATCTCGGGAATTAAAGAAGCTAGAGACACCAAATTTACAGAGTGTGTTGAACTGTACGGGAAATCACTTAGGTAAGAGATTGAGGTTCGTAGGTCATGAGCTTTGGGTCGAATACGGTCAAACCTGGTCAAATTCCAGGTTAGTCCAAAGTATCCCCAAACCCAAATAGCTGTTTCTAAGCAAAAGGTTTTATGCTCATTTAAGGTCAGTGACCTTGTTTGACCTTCTCAAGGTCATGGTGGCCAAAATCATACAAGACTAGTCTGAGTTTTGCAGCTGAACAGGCGACAAAGATTACGCTAGGCAGTATGTTTCCAAAAACAAAATGTTCACCTGGGTCATTTTAGGTCAATGACCTATTCCGACCTCTAAGAAGTACATGGAAGATGTAAAATGTGGCTCCTGCTATCAATAAATTCGAAATGAGCACCAAAAACTATCCCATGCCGCAAGCCCTATAACAATAAAACAGGTTGGTTTTGACCTTGGTCTGACCTTTATAACCTGACCTAAGGTCAATGTGATTTGTTCATTCAATATTTGTGTTGACTAAGAAAGCATCTCAGAGATGTATGGCTTCGTCTAACACTCCGTTGTTGCATCAAATTAAACGATTCCCTGTAGATTGACTTCACTGAAACCATGGCCTGAATTGCATCTGCCATAGGTCAGTGATCTGACAAGGTACATCTAATCGTTTGATGTCAAACGATTTGCTATTTCATTGTCTACAGCTAATGAAAATTTTAGCGGGGCTACGCCGCGCCGTTCGGGAACCATTCTGGAAAAACCTTCGGGGCAGGGGGGTCAATTTGAAACCCCCTTCCACCCGAGCGCGTGTTAAATCATTTAATATGAATAACCAAACCTAAATGGATGCATTGGCTTGACAGCTTGAAAGGCAAGCAGCAAAGCTGGTTTCATTGCCGTTCATAAGTTCTGTTATGTTTGTAGGAGAGATATTGTTTTGTTTCGGAGCATAGCAACTACTACCCTTGACAGAGGGTGACCATGGCAATCAAAATAAATTGTTGAAAGTAATTTAGATAATTAAGGGTGATCCTGCCTCCTCAGTTGGCTTCTGCGTTTTGACTTGTGTGTTACCAACTTTCTCTGGTGTCAAGAAACTGACACAAAGAACTGAACCAAAAACACACACTGGAGCCAGCTAAAATTAAGATTTATCGTGCTTTTATCACAACTGCTGCTGTCAAAAAATAGGTGAGGTGGGCTGAGATTATGTTCAACATATAGACTTCCCTAAGTTAGGTTAAGCTGGTTACCTGCATAGTAAGCAGCTGTTGGAATTTTGCTGGGATCAGTGCCTCACAAATGCTGCTGTGATACAACTAGCTTTAACAGGAGAACATGAGGCTAACGCTTCTCTGAGGCTAAGTTGAGTTAGGTTACATTCATGGAAGTAAGCATATGTGTTTTGCAAAAGACAGCCACGTAATATTTGTACTGCCTGGCCCTATCTTAGCACAAGCCAAAAGTATGTTGGTTGTTGTTTATTTCATTTGGTGATATGCTGATGTGCAGGAGTCAGAGACTTCTTTTGTTTGAATGCTAGATAGTTTTGTTGGTCATCACACTATCACAGAATTTCTGTTTTTTCATGCATTTTCTGTTTCAGTGTGATGACCTACGATGTGAAAAAACAAAAACAATTTTTGTCATGTTAAAGGGAATGTTCCACATTTCAAGATATTGAGATAAGCACCAGATATGATGGGAAAAGCTTACTTGTAACTATTGGTAAGTTTTCAAGGCTCAAAAATGACTCTAAGTAGCACAATTTCTAAGTTGGGTAAAAAAGCGCCCCATTACGTCATCGTTTGGTGGCGTCATGGAATGGTTTTGTGACGACAGCAACACTTGGCAGCATCTGGCAGCTAAACCTAAGGAATACCTCGAGGGGAACGTGTATATCGACTCATGAGAGTCGATATACTGAAAACGGCCCTCCTGTGTAAATCACATCGGATCCGAGTCGATTTACACACAACTGCTCAACTGTGTAAATCGAGTCAGATTTATGACGTCACGTTTGCGCATGCGCACTCGCCTACGTATGCGACCGTGTCCGCGCCGACCCTCGGCCTTGGATGCCGGGCGTGTTGAGGGTTGGGTGTGGGCGGGTACGGTGCGCCAGCCACGAGGGATGCAGGCAGGTAGATGGCAGCAGCTCCAAATCAGGATTGACAAAATTTTGAATACCCATTTTGTGGATTGAAAGCATGCTGCTCTTGGTGACAAAGCCCTTTCATGTGCCAGGAGGCCATGTTGTATGGTACCATCGCCCTTTGCTGCAAAATCGGAAGGCCCAGTGTTTTAAATTGTCAACATCTATTCGCCTGGATATCATGCTTATAACAGCTTGGTAAAGGAGCATATGCCTGCAATTTTCCTTTCCATTCAACTTTCAAGACAACATTGCTGAGAAGGCCCCCTGTGAAGCAGCCCCATTTGGCTTAGGAGGCTCGTTGAAAATCCTCCCCCAAATTGAAAATCCATGGTGCCAGCCCCTCAGCATCAGCAGGCTGGACTGATTTTCCCTCACTTGTTTCCACTTTGTAATAAGGTAATTCATTACTAGTAGCACATTCTTTGTACTCATATGTTTTGTTATAAAAGGGAGCAGCTTTTATCAGCTAGTTGAATGTTGCAGTGCCTTTGTATAGGATAAATGGTAATCTTCAGCTGATTCTTTGAATGCCTGTCTTCTGGTTTGAAAAGAAATTGGCCTATCCTCACTGAAAGCAAGACTGGGTGGGTGTGCAAATCAAAGTCTGTGGATCTTGTTTAAATGCTGGAAATGATTTTACCTCAGGTGGTACCAATTCAAGAAAGGATTTCACAAATACTATACACTCCTAACAAAATTGCATGAAAGCTGTAAAATAACAGCTGGAAATGATTAAGTGTTTTTCAAACTAGCATTGACAAGCAGATATATCGTGAGCAAGGTACACAGTTGTAACAAAACGCAAGTGACCAAAAACAGCTATTTATCAATTTTACAAACTTCGAACACACAGCGGCTATGCTCGAAAAGCAAATTTTGATCTAGCAAGGTAAGAAAAGATGTTGCTGGAGAGGTTAGCTTCATCAACATGTATTTCAGGACCCACTAAGGCTAGAATGCAAACAATAAACATGATTGGTTATTGTTGAATTGTTCACATATTTTTTGCATGTATGTGAACTTATTTAAAAGGAGGGTTTGGATTATATATATAGATATATATATATATATAGATATAGATATAGATATAGATATAGATATAGATATATATATATATATATATATATAGATATATATATAGATATATAGATATATAGATATATAGATATATAGATATATAGTATATGATATATATGTATAATATATATATTATATAGATATTTATCTATCTAGTTATATATAGTTTATATATATATATATTATATATATAGTTATTATATGTAAGGAATTTCCTTTCAATATATATATATATCTATATATATATATATTATATTATATATATATATTGTAGCAATTGCTAGCAAACGATGCTTTAGCAGTTTGTTTTCATAACCTAGCAAGGTTGCAAATTGGATTGGCTCCCCCCAATGCCCTTGTTTGTCTAATATTATTACTTAATGGCCTGATCAGCCTCTACAGTGATAAAAAGTTGACTGCGTGCTGAGTGATTGCTGCATCATACATTAGTTGTTGACCCAAGCTAGGTTTTAAACATTGTATGCGGTGTACAGCCTTCATAACTTTTTCATATAGTACTGATGGTCTGATGATCTCTGCCCCTGATGGTCTAATGTAGCACTCCTGTTATCTGGCACCCTGGCCCCTGGTGTTCTAGATCAGAAGGCCCAATGTTGTGTTATGGTGAGCACTTTGCTGGCTTGGGAGGCTGCGTTACAAGCTAGGAAGCTCTGTACTGGGTTAGCAGGCACTCTCTATTTGAGAGGCCCCTTTGTTGCATGAGATGGCAGCAGTTCCAGGTCAGGGTTTCCTGACCTGATATTACTGCCCTTGAGAGTCTGGTGAGGTACTCCTACCTCCTGGCACTCTGGCCCCTGGTGGCTAGACTTGGTACTCCTGACCCTGATGGCCTGACCTGATACTACTTCCTCCTGGTGGCCTTACCTGGTACCACCACCTGATAGTGTGCATTGATACCAGTGCTCCAGGTAGAATAGTACTGCTGTCTCATGGTGATCTGGCCTGGTACTTGTGTCACATGGAAGAAGGACTTATACATCTGCTCCTGATGGCCTCACCTGATACCCCTGTGCTTAGTGATCTGGGCTGGTATTCCTGCCACCTGATAGGGTACCCCTATCGCTGATGGTCTGACCTGGCACTGCTATTGCCAGCTGGTCTGACCTGGTACCCATGCCTCCCGCTTGTTTGGCATGGTGCCTTGTGCCTGGTGATCTGACCTGGTGCTCCTGATGATCAGACCATCAGTGTGTGGGGTCACCAGATCAGACTACTGGGGTCAGAATTACCAGGTCAGACCACCAGGAGGTGGGTACCAGATCTGATGTCAAATACCTGATAGTTGACCTGGTACCCCTGATGATCTGACCTGGTACCCCTGATGATCTGACCTGGTACCCGCGATGATCTGATCTGGTACCCCTGATGATCTGACCGCCGGGCATGCTCTTTTTGCAGATTTATCTACCAGTGGTGCTCCTCAGTTGACCCGGCGAGATGTAAGCGCTCCTCTGCACCACCTTATGATGCCTCCGCGACTTACGAAAAACCGTGGTCGTGCTAAAGGCGGCGTCAGCACATTCGTGGGATCAGGAAAGAAATAAGGTAAGTTTGCTTGTGAATAGATACGACCTTCCATTGACAATTGTTAGTAAAACCACATCTCGAACAAAAGTGAGCCGGCAAATATGACACGCGCATGTGCAGTGCGTTTCCGGTCATGACTAACGTGTATCGATGAATAGCACATGGGACGACGTAAAACTAGTTCATAATGCTTCTGCTCAGTTGGTGCCATGTCTTAATGTGTGTTTTTATTAACTTATTCTTTTTTCTACAGAGTACTGAACAGCAGCGGTGGATGGAATCGCTGGATTACACCATCCACGTACTCGGCATTAAACCCGTTATCATGCACCGCGTGATCACGGCGTTCCATGAATTGGACATAACTTCGGTCATCGGAAATGCCTTGACTTTTCCCGGATACCTGGAGAGCTCTTAGGCTTGTTCTACTCTATAGAACATGCTCGATATCTATATTCGTTTGCATGTCATGATGTGAGTATCTAGTTTGCCAAGACACACCACGTACATATATGAGTATTGCAAGCCTAGCCAGAGACTCTGAAAGACTGAAAGCGTTTCCGACTGACGGTGTTGGTTGGTTCCAAACTGGTTAAGCGCTGTAAAATAGCACCGCTCACCAAGCAATGGTTGCTTACGTCCAACCTGTTGCGTCCCTGGATGTGCTTGCATTATCTCCTCACTGATTGAGAAGAACGTTGAGCGGGCTTAGATCTGTCGTCTACCTGAACTAAGTAGCTGACGTGAACTAAGAAGCCTCGTCAAATGTCTTTGATGCGTTCATAGACGACAGTTCCACACATGCGAGAACTGACTGGGTAATTATATATTTGCCCCATGTGAAGAAGGTGCAATGTATGTACAAATGTATGTACAATTTTGTTTTGTGCTAGTTTAACCAGTGACCCCTAAGGCGAATGTGTTTTTAAAAAATACCAACTTGAGAACATTGCTTTGGCTACTTGTTCAATATGTCGTGCCACTGCCACTAATGCCACTAATTGCTTAGCCACTAATTGCCACTAATTGCTTAGCGCGTTCAACACTTCAGCAATGGCTGTTATTGATGATGTTTTTTGACACTGGTTGTGCTCGCACGCTTTCGATCTTGTCAAGAACGTTGATGATTGTGCCTAGTGGTAGATTTCCATGCATCTCAGCACCCATGGTGTGCCTTTGTTAGTGTACGGGATTTATAGGCGTGTGAGAAAGTCTTCCTGGCATAGCGAGACTTCCTGGCCGCTCCAATGCGGCAATAGACCTGCGCTGTTGACATGGTCGCTACTGTTCGTGGCATGCATCTGTGGTAAACTCGTATGGCTGCCTGCCCAGAACTGTATGTCGTGTACCTTCCAAGGCTGTGGTTATCCCGGAGAGGTCATTGACCTCGATACTTT